CAGCAAAACAGAGCTTTAAAAGAATTTGCAACTTCTGTTTTTAAAAAGAAAATCCAAAAACATTAAGTCGTTTTTAATGAGAAATACCACATTTCAAATTACTGTACCAGCCACATGCATATAGAGGCACATGCTACTAGCAGGTAGCCCTTTGTGCAGCTCTCTGGCTGTGAAACCCCAGGCAAGACCCACATTAGTAGTTACTTGAGTCAGGAAAGGGCAAAGCAAGAAATGCAGTATGAGGAGACGGACCTGGACACCCTACTGATAAACACATGTTTGCTGAAGGTTCCTCTGACTGCACGGAAGCAGGGTAACCCAAAATCCTGCAATGGGACTGTATTGCAGGAAAACTAACAGACAAGCCTACAAGGTTCTGAGCAGGTGTTCACATAACTGCCCATTTATAACGCATCAAAAACTGCACTGTAAAATGCAGGTCTGCATTTTACATTAGGTGGGCCTCAAGAAGCCTTGAAAGAGGTATAATAGTAATGACTAATACTCTGTGACGTCACTTAGGATAGATGAGGCATCTCACTACCAAGCAGTAACAACCCAGGGGGGAAATGCGAGGGAACCTCTCTCAGACAAGGTCCCTGTTAGGACAAGAGGCAAGGCTGTAGGACAGAAAAACTAACCATGCCAGTGCAATGGCTGGGCCTGGCTCTTACCACTTATTTCACAACTTTGTGAAATATTCATAATAAACTAATTCTAGTTTCAAAATGCTGTAAAATTATGAACTTACCAGAACATTTTAACTGAAACATCTGTTACCTGTCCTGTACAAGAAGTGATCTCATCTACTTTGATTTTTATTTTAAGATGTGTGACTGGAGGTTTTAAAGAACCCAAAGCAAATCATAACATCTCCCATGCAAGGAGAGGAAGGGTACCACAAACACCTTGAATGTGATCAAAAATGTCTGATAAACTCAGAATAAAATTTAACACACAACTAAAACTACAACTACTGAAACACTTAAAAGTTATGTTTACAAGGAAGTGCCAACAAACGGACTTACATTTGTCAACCAAAAAAACCCCGAAAACGCTATATATCTATAGTTTATAGTTCTAGTTTATTTATTTATATAGCACATTTAATTACAACAGTACGTTGACCAAAGTGCTGTACAAGAATACAAAATACCTAAAATAACTTTGTAGACATTTGTGGTTGTATAATACATTATACAACATCAACCAAACCATATTTGTAAATATATAAAGTCCTTTCTACCTATGCAAGAAAGACATTTACACCTTTAAAATGAAAGAAATAACCCGCACAAAGACAAGAAATGTACAATGTATACATAAAGGCAGGTAGGGGGGGTTGCTTTTATAGAGGAATGAATGTAAACTATAAGAGAAAACACATTTTAAAAAGTGCTTTGCTGTGTTTACAAGTAAAACTTTAGCGGCAAACAGTCAGTCAACACACACGAGGTTGTATATAACACGGAGAATGTAATTACCAAACTGAAAACAGCAGAGGTGGATTATTTTACTCACGGCATTCAGATGAAGGTCATTCTCTTTGTCCGGGAGAATTACTTGAAGCCCATATTGGTTCATTTTCCTGTTGGATCTGTCTGGGCTCGTCTCGGCCTTCACTCTGTGCCGTTAGCGTGGTTAGCTAGCTGACAGCATTAGCAGCACACTTGATAGTAGTGTGAGTCAGTGTGATGTTGAAGTCGTTGCCTTTAGTTCACTTTTTCGGGGTTTACTACAGCTTCACAATGGCTTCACGTACATTTAGAAGTTTATTATTAAAGGACTGAATCTTACAACCTGGCTGTCTCCATGCAAACCTTTTTGAACACCTTCCTTGGTCTTGCAAAGCTGCTACAGCTCCAGCACAACCTCAGCACACCTGTGGGCAACTCTTTTCCCCGAGGGCCATGCTGGCTAATAAACATTAAGAGAAAGACCCCATTATTTCAACTTTTTTCTTATGAATCTGATATATAATCTCTAAATTTGGTGAAGTTATCCTTTCCCTTTCTAAAAGTGCAAATTATTACTTGTTAATTGGTGCTCAGAGGTTCCCAAGGTGCTTGGCAGGTAGTTTCTTCCACCTATCTTGCAGAACCTGCCACCACCCCCCCCGGTTCTTGTGCCTCCACTTCTATTACATCTCATTAATCTTGTGCTGTGCTGAACTCCTGTTTTTTTCTGAATATATATTAATCTAAAATTAGACCACCTTTAGCCACAGCAGTTTAATTCATTGCATATCACAGGAGTATCTATAGATGTGCCACACTTACACCTGCATTCCATAGTTATGCAAAAATTAATGATAAATCCCACTTTTCTGTAGCACAAGTAGGCACAAATATTGGTAGGCTACAACAAAGCAATCTTTATTTCCAAAGATGTATAGCAAAAAACAAAAATAACTGACTGGTGTAAGTGCGTTGCATCAAAACAAATTTTGCATTAAAATAATATTTTAATTGATTAACCATAAAGAGTATTTTTGTTTATTAAAATATGAACTTTGTTTTCAGTGTACCAGATGGTCATCAGTGCTATTTTTTGGATATAATGAAATATCCATTCTTAACTGATGATCTGACCTGGGGTGGCCTGAAGCTTATCCCAGCTGCCACTGTGCAAGGAAAGGCAGGGTGCACCCACATCACCAGTCAGTCATCGGGCTAACACACTCTAATGAGCATGTTTTTGGACTGTTAGGGACTTGTCTTTATTGGATCCCTGTTAAATAATTAAATTCCATTTAAAATGTTTTTGCTTACATATGAGGTCTAAAATGATGAGGTAACTCTGGACCATGTTTATATCAATCAAATTATATTGCTGTCTCATGTCTGTGCCTACCAATCATCCCTCAGCCCTTTGTTTAAAAGCAGTAAAGTTTAGGGATGAGTGTTTCTCGTGGGAAACGCAACACATCTGATTGTTTCAGTGGGTTCTAAGCTAGACATATTTTTGGTTCGTGGATGTGATCACTTCAAGGTCCACAGTCTTACTGCTTCTTCTTGTAATAAACTAAACGTTTACCTTTGAACCAAATAAAGCTCAATTTAAGCCCAGGTGGCTAGTCTGACCCTGTGTGATGTGGGCCTGTTCATTGCACTGACATCAGGGCTTCCTGGTGACCAGACAAACCGCTCTTTGTGGCTGACTGTATGTGTGGGGTTACTTTCATGCTGCAGAATGAATTTAGAACCAATCTTATGCCTTCCTGGTGATGCAGAGTGATAGACAGGAATCTGCATTTAAAGTTGTCCCCGGCAGGTATATTTAAGTTGACCTCTAAAATGTAACTTACATATATCCAGTGTGGATATCAGTATCTGTGGGTTTTGCCCTCACTTCAGTGCAGTTAGCATGATTTATATTCCTTTTCTCACAATACTCAAACCAACCTCACTAACCAAAATGGGTGGGGAGGGCTGCTGTGCTAATTTTTATATATCTCCTCTTCGTCTTTGTTTTCATAGGATAATATTGTTCCATTTTCTTATATGAGCACAAAAAGTAAACAGTAGCCTAAGGTTGTGTCTGGCTGGAAATTAGAAGCTGTAGCCAAATGAGTCTCCACAAAAACGCAGAAAATAGAGATTGGAGAAGAATCCCCTGGGGCTGCTTGATAAAAATTTAAACCTCAAACTTGCAGGTAATGATAACAGCAGTAACTCAACAGGATGGGTGATTACATCAGATTGCAAACTGTATCTACAGAAAACTTAATATTGACATTTGGATGGTATTGTCTGAGTGAAATGACAATAGCCAAAGGGTTACAGAGCACCACACTAACCACGGGACAGTAGGAAATGTGAAACAGACTGGATTCAGGCTCTGCATCACATCACACATGATATATTGACATTCGTGTAACAAAGGTCATTCTAAACTTGGCAACAGTACAGAAACTTTTCCTTTACTCATTAAAGATTTCTTTGTTATAGGCTTTACATAGACTTAACCAGAACACCAAGTCATTTCTTATAACTTTTTAAAACACAAAAAGCAGCTATGACTTTTTGGCACAGCCATCCAAGCATACAGACTGGTCTGTTTGCCTTTGCCTTAACAGCAAAGGCAGAGGAGAGCAAAGTAATTTGACTAACTGTAATAAGGGCACAGGAGGAAGACTTTAATGTCTGAGTCAGAGGAAAAAGCTTTTTAGCAGTGAAGACTCGGAGGATTCTGCAAGTCATCGTGCTGCACCTTCAAGGGAACATTACATATATACAGATAAGGCATTCCTGTAGTCCATGTATACATTTATTCACCTAGTTTCATCTCAATGGCACGGTCCTCCGTCACAAATGTTGCAAATTATTTTATTCCTGTATTGGTCAGTCTGGTATTTCCAGTATATTCCTAGATAGTTCGTGAATGAGAGCTCAGAAGAATTTTCTCTCTCTCTTCTGATCTGGCCTGCAATTAAAAACAAAACAAGTGATTGCTTTGTTTTTGCGTTTGAATTTTTAACAGAGCAAATAGACGGGGGGAAAAAAATACCCGGGGGGGAGCTGAATGTGATTACATTCGGTTATCTCTCAATCTTCTCAACACAATTACGTGTCATTCATGAAACAAATATTGAGCAGGCAGCTCATAAATGTGTTGCTTAGCCACGCTGTAGTCGAATGGGCTCTGCACTTTGGATTTTTAGCCTAAAGTCATCACTTATTTTTAATTTAGGCATTTGTGGTTAATATACCCCAGAAAACAAGCGTGTTATTTGGTGCTGTAGATATGAGGAGTGTGCAGTGTCACAAACTAATGAACCACTGAACATTAGTTAAAATCGCTGAAAGCTTTATGTTGTGTTAAAGTAGTCTGTAGATTAATGGCTTTAGAAACTATTTTATGTGTCATACAGCAGAAATATGATTCAGTTACCGCATCTTCTTATAATAATTTAATGCAACTGGAGTCGACGTTGATATCATCTGCTGGTTGTGAACACACCGACTGTGTTTGCTTATGTGTGATGTTGTGTTTTGTAGGTGACTGGCTGGCTGGAATACCACCGCACTCCTTCTCCTTCTGAGGACATCCTACTGCTGGACCACCAGTTTTTCCTCCCCCAGCATGGAGCCCACAAAAGTCCAGTCAGAGGGTGGCCTCAATGTCACCCTGACCATCCGCCTCCTCATGCATGGAAAAGTAAGTGAGCACAGTGATTGAGTGCTATATTGACTGTTAGGAAGCCTGAAAAGTGAGAGACATGCAGAGGGATTTATTTCTTCATTTCAAGAGCTTTTCAGTGATGAATCAGGTGCCAGTTTTACATGGTCTCTCTTCTTAAACCTTTCATCTGATTTTAATGAAGTTGTATTCAGATAAATTGGAATTGTACAAATTGTGCAATGAAATTAACTTTCAAATCGTTTCTCTGTTTGTCCTTTTAACCTCAACTCTGACCTTAGATTTGACCGTCCTAGTAGCAGGACATCTGTAAATTAAAAAATTTAATTATATGTCACAACCTGCTGTAATTCATAGGACTTGCATCATAGTGGTGCCTTAAATTTTAAATAATTAAATTAAGTAAGTTGGTTTGTGGAGACATCTGTAGACGTATACCAAAACATCTATATGTCACAATATTCAGGATAGTTGATGAAAAAGAGCGAAATTACAAAATATTTTTAATTGTTTACCACACTTAGTTCCACTTTACTGTCAAGCTGTGTGCTGTGGCAGGCGGCAGGCAGGATGTAGGACCCAAACGCAGGACTTGTACATGGAATGAGAAAACTTTCCACAAAAATAAATTTCACAACAAACAAACCAAATCCTCAAACAAGAAAACTAAACTGGACACTAGAAAATAAGATACAAACCACGGACTGAGAACTAGAATTTCTTCAGGACCACAAAGGCAGAAACACAGCACGGTGAGGGCACAACACAACAAAGCGCGAATGGAACACAGGGCTTAAATGCACAGTCAAGACAACGAGAGGATGGGGAATGGGTGTGAACACATCTGGGACAAACGAGACATAACAAGACAAATGAAGCAAAGCAGAGTACATTGGCAAAGGACACAGACTGTCAAAGTAAAACAGGAAGCATGACACAGAGATACAGACTTGACACTGAGACATAGAAACATGACAGACTCTGGAACAGCGGGAACATGAAGCACAGAGACAAAAGTAACAAGACGTGGGACACAGGAAAGACATAAAGACAGAAAACTAAGACTAAGCATATAACACACAGAGAACAGAAACAGAACAGAAACCTAGAAACCAGGAACTGTAAATATAATACAAAACAGAAAACCATCATTCAAAGAGTATAACTTAACCCAAAAAACACAAACACTGGTTCACCAGACCCAGTGCCTTGACATTTACTATTAGTTCTTTGTGACTAATATTCTCCATAAAGTACCAACAACAGTACAAAAATAAACAATTGTAGCCTGCAGACAAGCGGTTCCATATACTGTTGATACTGCTAACATGTAGACATGGGTTTAAAAAGCTCCTACTAACTCCTACTAAACTCCGCCTACTAACCAACAGGGGCTAAAAAGAATCCTGCTAACGTGAACTACCGAAAGCCACCAAATGGTAAACAAAAAAAGTACTTTAAATGTTAAAAAGTAGAGAACTATTGTATATTAGCATCCTGGAGGCCTAGGGGTTGAAGGTATTGAGTAGCATCAACATTCAAGTCCAGATAGCCATCTTTGTTGTTTGTAATTACCAGTCTCCTTCCTCCCTCAGTTCCGTCCATCCATCTACTTGTCTAATAAAGGCCCAAAGTGCTTGAAAAATGACTGGTGGGCATTGAGTTTGAAAGATGCTTAGGAAGTGCCAATAAAATCTGCAATTTGTCCCATTATGGAAACCGTTAGAGCCAACAATAGCTTTGCTTTGACAACAGTCTAGATCAGCTTGAATGAAAGTACAACAGCAGCATATGCTGTTTCCACTTACTGTACACAGCATTAACTCATATTATGTAAGATCAACAAAATAAGCTAATGGCAGCAGATGTATTTTACCTTCCCACACCAAAGTCCAGCTTTGCTCTACTTTTACCTTTCCTTACTGTGGGGTTATGTAAGCAAGCTTCACTGAGGTTCAAAGGCCTTTGGAGACTTCAGGCCTTTAAGACTGAAAATCTCCTGCTGTGTGTTTCTCTGCTGCTGACTCAGCTCAGCGTGTTCTTGTTCGCCCTTAGTATTTTCAGATTTCCCAGGGCATGGTGTATAATGTATTAATGGGCACCAACTTTTTAGACACATGTGTACCATCCTCACTCCTTTCTACTCTTTAAGAATTAGTTTGTGTTCACCTGGTTTTATAAAGAATGCTGTATTATCATGGCTCTTGCTTTCCATCCCCCACCTCTTGTGCTTTACTTTGTAAATAATATCTGTATGGAACGACCATTACTTTCTTGTCAGTGTAGAGTTTGTAAAAAAGCAGATTTCTTCTTGTCTAGAACTGTATGAACGTTACATAACAGCAGCTCAGTTACAAGTTTGCTTCAAGCTAGGCAGCTAGAAAACCCGCAGCACACATGCGTAGCTGATAATGCTGGTAGATTCTGCAGGACAAAGAATGAAGCTCACATCTTCTCCTTGCCTGGTGTGCCAAGCAGCCTGTGAATGGCCGTGCAGGTCAGCCTGCATGACTGCTCATGTAATCGCTTTAAAAGCCAGTGACCCTGTGACTGTTTGAATAACCCCACATCCTGGCAGGGACATAACCACAGCAGCCACAAGGGAGGATTTTGGCAGGATTACCCACGTCCTTTCTCCACAGCAGTGAAGCCCTCAAATTGAGAAACCATTGGGTTACATTGGGTATTGGAGCATTTTCATCATTATCTATTGAGGGCAGGCAACCCTCCAGCATCCTGTTACACTTTCAAATGACTTTTTTCCCCTTTTGTGATGCCCAGAAAAGAGTTTTTGGTAGGCTCATCTCTGTGTCCCTGAAGCTGGAGTGGAGTGGCACAGGTGCCATTCTCCTTTCTCCCTCTGAGAAGAAGTTTATATGAGTATAAGTCATTCAAGAAGCTTGCACCTCAGCCATGTTTGCAATTCCAGGCAGTTATTACGAGATAATGTGACCAAACACACATCTAAAAGAATTGGAAGAGACATCAAATGTATTTCAGTTGTTAGTGGGACAATACAGGAAGACAGATAAAGAATCACCCCTCAAATATGATTAAAAAAAGGCTTTGATGATGAGCAGGTGACTTAGCCTGAAAATATGGTTTAAACCTTTTTCCCCTGCAGGTTATACTTGTATTAAATGTAGGAAAAGTTCCACTTCATTACAACCACATGAATGAATGCAATTGTAATTTGATTTACTTTAAGAAGAAAAAACAATATAGTTAATGAAACAGGGCTGGATGGGTAATCTACTGCACTTCTGGGACAATGAGTCAATGCAACGGCCCTACAAGCACAGACAGCAGCTCATTGGTTCATTTGGTTTAGAGCTGGCACTGACCATTACAACTGAAACTTGTTATGTTTATGAGTATATTGTCAGAAAGTTAGTTTTGGAGTGTAATTTAATGTAGCACTTGATAAATATAAATGATTCTTATAGGGTAGAACCTGGCGCTGTGAACTGCAACTGCCTGCAGCTTTAACGTCACAGTAGACGTAACCCTCACACTTTCTGAGGAGAGGTCGGGGAGTGTTGATGCTTGCAGCCAGCGCTGCCTCTGTGCCCTTTACCAGCTGTGCCACACCAAACCCATAAAGAGTGATTCAACAAGCATGGAAAGTCTGACCCTGAACATGCCTGTCTTCATGTCTTGGCACAGTTTTTACACCCTGTTCAGTAAAAAGAGAAGCAAACAATTAAAAAGTACACATTTAAACAAATAAATATGTTTATTTTCTTCACTTTTTCTTGTTGTGTTTTCATGTTACAGGAGGTTGGAAGTATAATTGGAAAGGTATGTATTTTCATACTCATTTTCATGATTATGGAAAGATTCTGATTCACTTTGATGTACAAATGTACTTTTTTTTCAGAAAGGAGAAACAGTAAAAAAGATGCGAGAAGAGGTGAGTTTGAATATAGAAAAAATTAGCAAAAATATTTATTACCCTCCCGCCCATTGCACCCTCCCCAGCAAGTCACTAAAGATCACAATGAAATACCAGGCGAAGTTAACTTTGTAATGCATGAGTCAAATTTGCTCAGGATCTGTTTGAATAATTAAGGTTTCTTATCACCGCCACTGAAAATGAAAAGTAGTTGCTGGTCTTCCAGAGTGGAGCGCGAATCAATATTTCTGAGGGCAACTGTCCAGAGAGGATTGTTACCATCACCGGACCAACGGACACCATCTTCAAGGCTTTTGCTATGATTGCCTACAAATTTGAAGAGGTATGATCAGTCTGTTCACAATCAAAATGTACTCATTTTGTATTTCAATTCACCTTTTGCTCCTGTGGTAGTTCCAGACATTCAGCTTTCTTTATGTACACACAGTTTTCCTGCAAGCGTGGGTTTCTCGCTTTGAGATAAAGATCTGTCTGCAAACACAATCTCAGTGTTTGTATTTAGATAAAACCAAGCCAGACTCATATACATACATATATACAGTACACCTGCAAAGGGCACCTGTATCACTGAACAGTATGAGGTGAATTTTCAGCTATCTTTCTGCTGATGTTGTCTTTGATGTGTCTCCTCTTGCTAGTGCTGTGTAAGTACTGTGACTGGAACTTGTAAGAGGAGACTGACTGCTGAGTTCTCGGTGATCTGTGTAAAATGTGCCGTGCCAATAGGCTGGGTGTTTACAGGAGGGTGCATTCAGCGAGCGGAGGAGATGAAAATACTCAAGGAAAATTTAAAACAAGTGTGTTTTTGCAGGTCATTTTGCACCACCTTTGAAGTCTGGAAATTTATTTGGACATTCATTACTGAGACAGTTAACATCACGAATGTCTCGGTGTCACATCAAGAAAACATTACCCTTACAAGATAAAATACTTGCTACTTTTGTTGTTGTTTTCCAGGACATAATCAATTCCATGAGCAACAGTCCAGCAACCAGCAAGCCTCCTGTCACCTTAAGGCTTGTTGTGCCAGCCAGCCAGTGTGGCTCCCTCATAGGGAAAGGAGGCTCCAAAATCAAAGAAATGAGAGAGGTGTGTGAAACATTTTTCTGAACGACCTAATTATGTTAATAATGTTTATCCTGTTTTTTAAAGACAAACAGAACATTTACAGACAAATAGTTTTATTTTACGAGCTTACATTCATACATACATTACATTCATGAGTAAATAAATATTAGATATTTGAAAATTAATGAATAGTTTAACTAAACTGTGTCATTTTTCCTAAATAATTAACTGTAGGCTTGTTTTTACTTGATTATGTGTTACTTAATAAATTATTAATGAAATATCTGGAACGTTCAGCAGCAGTTATGACCCTGCAGCCACAGGACATTTAGCGAGTGCAGTTTTTTTTTTTTTTTTTTAAATCAGGACAATATTTCAGGCCTTAATGCTAGAAAGCCTCAGAAGAGGAGATACAGTATGACAGGCAGCTAAGCAGGACTCAAAGTTTGGATGATGCCATCTTGCGGTATATACCTTCACAAGGCCATCATAGCACCATCTGCACAGTATGGCTATAAAAATTTGTTAAGACATGTCACTAAACCAGAAAATTGCCCACCCCCTGTTGCTGGTGCTTGAGGCAAAGTCAGTGCATTTTGTATTCTGGGTGGCAGGAACATTTATTTCAAAATTTGATGCGAAGCAGTCCGATAATTGTTGAGCTACTTCAGTCTGGATCAAAGTGTTGGACCGACCAAATACCACTGCTATCGCTAGAGCCACACTGCTAGTGTGTCTAAAAAATAAGTAAATAATAAATAAAATATCAACAAACCTTTAAAAATGCCAGGTGACAGTACAGGGAAGCATATGACATTTGCTGTTAACTCATTTGAATTGTCTGTGTGCTATACAGTTCCCTATGTACAAGCCAGACGTTTTGTGCAGGTCTAACTTTTAACTGTGTGTTTAATGGATTCTCTATTGCATTACAAAAACTGTCACGAGTCTTTAGATACAAAACTAATGTGATTTTAAACTCAGACGTCTTAATTGTGCTGTGGCTCGTCTGCTCTGTCTGAGCAGCAGGATTTTAATTACAGTCAACTGCCGTAGTGACACTCCTCAGTTTATCCACTGTCTGAAAAAACACTGTTTTAGCGCCTCTCCCTGCTTTTAAGCAAAATTTCTTCTGATTGGCTTCCTTAAAAATCAGGTGGGCGGGGCTTCTGTGCTCACAGCCAGGCTATTTTAGGGACTTCTGCTCGCTGAGACGTCTTACATATCAAAGAATGGAAAACACTGAAAAACTGTGAAGCCTGAGCTTACTTTGATCCAGTGATTGATACTCAGATTAGTTTATATATGACAAAAAAAGCTATTATAAAAGTTTGAACCATTTTATGTATTTTACAGTTTTGGAAGTGCAAGTGTCATTAATTCACAGTCAGTATCATGAACACTAGCATTTAATAGCATATCAAAGCTACATTCCCAGTCATGATTTTATAGGTGGGTAGATTACAGCTGTTGTACATAAAGTTATCTCTGTACAGATTTGTGTTAGAAATAATTTGTGGAGAGAGATGTAAATTTTAACATCCAATTATCCAAAAATAGCAATTTTTTTGGCAGTGGTTTTAAAAGTGGTGCAATTAGAGATAATTATGAATAGCTGGTGGACACTAATGGTGGAGCAGTGCATCCAAAAAGTCTCCAAAATGCGTCAGCTGTAGTCTATGCTTGTTTCCCAGTGACGTAGCAGACACTATACAGTGGCTGAATGAGTGAGTGGGTGAAGTGTGGGAGGATGCATCATTATTGTCTTTTTGATGGAAGCTGAAAAAAAGAAGACGTGGAGACAAAATACAGCCATGAAGGCAACATGTTTTGACCCCAGGTGGATATGTGGCAATTGAAGGAAATAGTAAAGGACAAACTAAACATCCAAATTGCCATGGTGCTCTTATAGAGGCTGAAACGGAGTCTATCATATAGCCTGCACCTTGAGTACTTGAAGTACCTTTCAATTTTAATTTCCCTGCCAAAGTAAGTGCCTGTACTCTTGAGAGAAATGCAAAGCACAGCCTGAATGTGTTACAAATGAATTTCTTTCAACATCATCAAGCTCCTCAGAGTCCCTTCCTCTGCTCCAGTCCACAGGGGCCCAGGTCCAGGTAGCAGGCGACATGCTGCCCAACTCCACAGAACGTGCAGTGACAATCTCTGGGACCCCAGAAGCCATCATCCAGTGTGTCAGACAGATCTGTGTGGTTATGCTGGAGGTAAAGTATGTACAGATTTAGCAAGTGCCAATATGACTTACTATACAGTCTCAGAGAAATGTATTGAACAGACAGAGTGTGTGTCGAATTGCACTTCTGGCTAGACCTATAGCGTGCCTCTTTAAGAATTTATATTTAGTGCTTGTGCTCGTAAAGCACATTTTCTAAGAAATTGATTTTTGAATGGTCAGAACCACCTGGCAATTGTTGTCCATAAATGTCAACTTGACAGGCAACCGGCTCGTGCTATTAAGGTGCCAAGAAGGGTCTACATGCGTACATTTTCTATTATGCTGAAAGTGAGAAATTGTTTGCAGCATAGCAAAACAGACTGCAATTTAAATCATTCTGATGCAATTTAGAGGGAGAAATCTGTAATTATCGATCATTTTTGTGCATTAGTATCCAACTGAACTGTCACGGAAAGAGTAACACCATTACTTTGTCTGGATATTGTATCTGAAGTGGATACTCCTGCTGCTGCAGCACAGCAGCTACAGTGGAAATTTGATTAAGCCTTTTCCCCCGTCTTGAATAGTCTTGTTGCTGATGCACGGCATTAATCAATAACTTGGTGTCATTATAGTAAGTTCGCAAACTGGAAATCCCCTTCCTTCTCATTCCTCGTGGCTCAGAAAAAATAAGGTGATGCATTTACACAGCAGTGCATGGAGACTAAAGACATTTTCTTTGTGAAAACTATAACGTTTCTCTCAGCAAGACACTTTATTGCCTCAGAATAGTTCCTCTGCTTTTCTGCAGTAAAGCACTTTGGAAAATATGATTATATATGTGAATTGATAAGTGGGTGGATGCTATCCCGCTTCATATGCATTACACTGCACACAGTGATACACCAAGTCAAAAAATATTACAGTATTTTAAAGAATTGTTCACTCTCTGTTTTTTCTTTTCTAGGTTTTATTAACAAAAAAAAAAAGGAGCACATCAGTACCATTAAATATACACATTAAATAAGAAGCTATTTTATGTGTATATTTAGCTAGTGTATCTTAGCATAACAACCATTTAGCTAGTGTATCTTAGCATAACAACTCTAAAGACAGGGAACAAAAGCTAAAAAGAGGTAACAAAACAGAAACTAGCATCACCTTGTAGCTACTTTTGCTAAAATAATGGAGTTTACTTGCTATATGTCGGACTAGGCTTTGGGAAAATTTCCTTGGTACAATAATGAACTGATTTTAATATTTTCACTTAGCATGCTCTGTTACCTTCAGACAAATTGTGGCAAGCATCCTGCTCAGCTAATTGGCATCTTTAGCTTTATAATTTGCTCATCTTTAAACTAGTTTCCGTTCATTGTTGAGTAAAAAAAAAGTAAAACGATTCTTGTGCAGATGTGAGTTTGACGCACTTACATTTGCAATTATCTTGCTTTAGACTAACTCTGACTTTTGTTTTTCCTAGTCCCCACCAAAAGGTGCCACTATCCCTTACCGCCCAAAGCCCACCTCCACCCCTGTCATTTTTTCTGGTGGCCAGGTAAGTGCTGAACTAGCTTTAGCTTGTTAGTTTGTGCCTACAGCCAACTTGAGGCTTTTGCTGCAGCATCAGCATCACTGCCTCTTTAGTGCAAGCTTCTGTTAACTTTTATTCGCACACTTGCAATTTCTGCAACTCTGTCGCCTAAAAATTAATTTTATATAAGACTAAACTATATTATTTAGCAGATTTAGGTGCAGCATATTAGCTGGTTGTATCGTATTTTTTAAATGACATTTAGAAACTTGTAAGGATGTGGTTGGGGTGAATGACTGATGTACAAATCGTTCAATTTTCACGTTTTAGGCTGGAATAAATGGAAAGCAGTAGATGAGAGAGCACTTCTTAAATGTAATTAAACCTACTGTGTCATAAGACACAATGAAGTACTTTTATATTAATCAACTACTACTGTGTGAAACTACCTAATAATTGTTCCTTTTGCATAGAAAAGAGAGAAATTGGTTCTGACAAGGATGATTGTCACAAAAATTACAGCTTTAGTTGTTTTATATTGGGGGAGTGGCTTCAGTAAAAATAGAAGTTTTATTCCTGTAGTAATTTCTATCTGGTTGTTTGGCTTTTGTAGCAGTAGGAACCTCTCTGTCAGAACTAGCACTGTTACCATGAAATGAATGTGGCTTATATTTGACTGACTTATATTTAAACGATCTTGCATTTGTGCAAATGATAAATGCTCAATTTTATTAGTTTGATTAGGTGCACCTAGCTGGTACCCAGTTGGACCACTTGTTGGTGTCAGAACTGCCTTATTTAATGTCTTGGATTCAACAAGGTTACTGGAGACATTCCTCAGAGATTTTGGTCGACATTGACACGATAGCATCAATTATTGCAGATTCTTCTCCAACACATCCATGATGTGAACCTCCTGTTCCATCACACCCCACATGTGCTCAATTGCATCGTGACTGTGGATGTCAATTGCGTAGTCAATTCACTGACAAATTCAAAAAACATTTTGAGTTGGCTTGAGTTTTATCACATGGTGTGTTATCCTGCTGAAAGCAGGCTGGGGTGTTTAGAATCAGAATCAGAAAGGGTTTTATTGCCAAATGTTGAGCAGGTTTACAACATTAGGAAATTGCTGCCGTACTTAGTGCAAACATGCTGTCATATAACGCTTAAATAGACATAAAAATAAGAATTAAAACAAGCCTTACTGGCTACTAAGGGGCCTAAAGTGTGCCAGAAATGTCCTCCGCACCATTATACCACGAACAGCAAAAGAAGTGTTGATACAGTGCAGGATGGAACCATGTTTCCATTTTGCTAATCTCAAATTCTGACCCCACCAACTGAAAGTCAAAGCAGAAATCTGGACTTGTTGAGCCCAACAATGTTTTTCCAATCTTATGTTGTTCAGTTTTGATAAATCTATGTGAACTGTAGCCTCGGCTTCTTGTTTTTTAGTTGACAGGAATGGGACGCTGTCTGCTGCTGTAACCCATCTGCTTTAAGGTTCATGCTATGTATTCAGAGATGATCCTCTCCATACCTTGGTTGTTACAAGTAGTCATTTAAGCTACTGTGACTTTACTGTTAACTTTAAAATAATCTGGCCAGTCTTTTCTCCTCCATTTTCACTCATCTAACTGCTGCTCTCTGGATACTTTCTCTTTTTTGGACTCTGGAAACCCTTAGAGATAGTTCTGTGGGAAAGCCCTAGCCAATCAGCAGTTTCTGAAATACTCAGACCAGCCTGCTTGGCACCAACAACCATTCCACATTCAGATTCACTAGTCTTGACCATGTCTACATGCCTAAGTGCATTGAGTTGTTGCCATGTGAATTTTCCGATTTAATGTATGTATTAACAAGCAGCTGGTGTACCTAACAGGTGTACCTAAAAAAAGTGGCTGGTGAGTGCATTTTGGCTGGACAGTCATTGTTGTTTGAGTGCACCGGATAGTGAAAGAGGGAAGCAGGGACGGTAGCAGAACCATAATGTGTGAATCAGTAACAATGGCATTAATGTCAACAAGAATGCTGGGTGCATACTAATGTCTGTCCAGCCATATCCATAAGTTAATTGCAGATTTGGACTAAAAGCTGTTGAATGGATTTGAAAACTTAGCAAACAAGAGATACGCTGGAGGAACAGAGCACATAAGAACTTGTAATGACTCCAATTTTCCTTTTGTCTGGGAATAATCATCATCACTGGGTGTTAAATGGAAAAAAAACCCCCCACATCTGAAGCCTTTAGAAAACAACTTACACGGGTCTGATTTAGAAAAAAACGAAACAAAACAAAAAAACATGCACAGACAGAAATGCAAAAACATCTGTCCAAAATAAGGTAATTCAGTTGACTAATATGCTATGTTTAACGTTAGCATATACATACACAGTCTAGACTGGGATTTGAATGATTACTCACCTGAGACCGAGGCAGCTAGTTTGTTTATACAGTTGAATCCATGAATTAAAGATGAAACAGGAGAACCAAAAATGAGGAGTCATAAAGCAGCACTAAGTTGCATTGGCAGCCATCAGCAAATGCGCTTTATGGACATTATGAAACATTTTCTGCCAGTCATCGGATATATTTTATTGTATTTTTGGACTTCCAAGACTTGGATGTCATTGCACTTCATCTACATATAATAAGCCTTTTCTGATACTGCTTTGAATATGCTAACACTTAAGTAGATCATCAATTAATGTTAGTTAATGTCATTGCTAATGATGCAGAAGATTAAGTGAATCATCACTTTAATGTCATTACCACTAAATGGTAAATAAATGGTAAATGGCCTGTATTTGTATAGCGCTTTTACTAGTCCCGCCTAGGGACCCCAAAGCGCTTTACACACCCAGTCATCCACCCATTCACTCTCACATTCACACACTGGTGGAGGCAAGCTACAGTTGTAGCCACAGCTGCCCTGGGGCAGACTGACAGAAGTGAGGTTGCCATATCGCGCCATTGGCCCTTCTGGCCAACATCAGTAGGCGGTAGGTGAAGTGTGTTGCCCAAGGACACAACGACCGAGACTGTCCGAGCCGGGGCTTGAACCGGCAACCTTCCGGTTACAAGGCGAACTCCCACTTCGCCCCACTAGAAACACATACCAAAATTTATAATCAGTTTTATATGTAATATATACATTATATATAGTACATAGACACATAATAAGGAAAAGGAATATTCAGTTGTGGTCAGAGGTTTACATATATTCATCCTGGGCATGAAGGTCAAAGTTATCTTGTGTTTTTCATGATTTTTTTTTAACTGTTTTTCATCCATTGTGGAATGATTGCACAGTATACAACTTTAATGACGTTTTAATTGAATGTAAGTTTGAAACAGGGTCAAAAATATTTACACTGGGTCAAATATATAACTACACCACTAATATTTGGTTAAATATTAGTGGAAGTTGCACATCAGCTAGACACTTTTGGAAGCCATGAGCAAGTTTCTGACATAATGTTAAACTGAGGTAACGTTTAAGGTGAAGGTAGTCCTCCTTTATTATTTCATCCAGTTTTTGGAATGCACCACTACCAAAAGTAGAAAAACTGTTCCAGAGCATGATCCCATCATAGATTTGAAAGCCTCACCTTTACTCCTCCAAACATAAAACTTTTCTCCAGATGGTATTTGACTTACCCATATGGGTTCAATTGAGCTTAAATGTGTTGGTTTTTGAGCAGGGGATTGTTGCTTGGTCAGCTTGGAACATCCTTGATCTTGGAATCTGTAGGTCTTTAAGGACTGGCTTTAAAAGACCTTCACCTGTCAATCAAATCATTTTTATTCTGGCAAAAAGAAACTATGAGTTGTAGGCAGCAACTCATTAACAAGTTAAAAGGCATTGTAGAACCACTTATTAAAAGATTTAAGTGAGTGTAGGTATAAATTAAAGCTTGTACATAAACTTTTGACCCTGTGTGATCGAAGGAAAATCGACAATAAATTCAAGCTTGTGCATGCAATTCTTGTATTTTTAAAGTAATTAAAGATGTATGCGGTACAATCATTCCACTCCGGAAAAAAGAACACTTCAAAGAATTGATTAAAGCCCAAAGTGATGATGACGTTCATGCCCAAGATGAGTGTTTGTAAGTGACTGAAAGGCTTTTTGAAAGTGTTTGAAAGTGTACAAGCTGATTTGTTCTTTATTTGATTTTTTCCCACTCTGATACTGAAGTCTGATTTTTCTTCTATGTTTTACCTTTCCAGGCCTACACAATTCAGGGACAGTACGCCATACCACACCCAGATGTAAGTTCTTAGTCTCTTTTTAAAAATTTAATTTTGAAACAAACCTGCGTTGTTTCGTATATAAAGAGCAGACATTTGATTAGATGCACACATCAGCTCTTATGAGATAAGCTATAAAGCCCTTCCACTTTCAGAACCACTGGCTGTCTATAGTTTAAGGTTTTATTGTGGCTGAACTACCAGAAAGATCTGGTCGATAACAAGCCAGTGGCTCCTGGTGTTAACGACCAAGGCAAAGACAGTAATGGCAGTTTTGATGTAGACAGCTCTTTAATTCCAGTGGACCATATAGTCTCCATTAATAATCTGCCTTCATCTGTCCTTGTCGTAAGAGCATCTCAAGAGCTACCTTGTGTCAGATCCACTAATTCAAAGTTGGGCAATGATTGATGCCAGTGGAGGTGGTGGTTGACGGTACAATCACTCAAGTACGGGCCTGACACCCTCTTCCTCCCTCATTAAAACTCCTCTTAAAAGGAGAGGAAGCCTTTAAAGTATCGGCCTTCCCTTATTCCTGATGGAAATGATATACAGCAGCGGATGGACATCCTGTGACCATACTGGCTGGGAGAGCAGGTGCTCTTGCAGTCATATGGGTTCTCTGAGTGTGAGTCAAAACTGCCATTTAGAAAGACATGTGGTAATTAAGAGGGCAATAAAAATTATTTCCTGCAGTTAATGTTAATGTGCTCACCAGTGGGTCCACATTTTCAAAACCACTATGCTAAAATGATAAAGAAACAGGCAGAACAGAAAGGAAAATATCAAATTATCTAATAGAGTCCATCTCCACGACAGACAATCATCCTCTCTCTGTATCTCTTTTTCTCTTACTTTTTATCCTCCACCACCCCGTGCCATGGCCTCCTTTTCCTCACCGTTTCTTCACTCTAGTTTTGGTTGGCTTCATTTCTTGGTGTGACCTGTGTAACAGTAACCTCTTAGTTCTACTTTCCCTCCTAACCCTTCAGCAGTTGACCAAGCTCCACCAGTTGGCTATGCAGCAAACCCCCTTTACCCCTCTCGGACAGACCACCCCTGCTTTCCCTGGTACGTACCCACGAGGCCCGATAGATACTTCCTTCTCTTTGCATCCAGAGAAACATTTTTCTCTTTCCCTACCTTGCACCCTATCTCTATTTTGGCACAGCATGTCTTGGCCCCTGTAGTTTCTATCTTTCTTTGATTTGTCCATATATGTTTTTTTTTCTTGGATATGTCTGATATTTTGCCACTGAAAGGTAAAAAAATGCCTTCGGGCTTCACTTTAAAATGATGTATTCCAAACTGCATTATCTCTTGGAAACAGGGCAAATTGTTTATGCTGTTGACTTTCCATTAAGGAGGGAGACTCTAATGCCACAGGCCCGATTCTACAATAATAATTGTGCCTCTAGCTCTTTTATAGCTCTTGGTGTTATAGCCTATGTGCATCGCAACCTCTGTATCTGTGTAGTTGATCAAATGAAGGTCTCGTGAGTACTATTTTATCCAAAAGCCTTAGCTATAATGAATGCAGAAATGCAAACTTAGCATTTTGAGATCAAAAAAGGTCACCTATGAGATTTATGTGGATTCAAGGCTTTCGGGAGTAGTCCGGGTGGATAAGAAACATCTGTAGTTCACCTCTGTGGAATGCATATTTCAGTCTAGCAAGGTTGTAGGTTATTGGTTTTATTTTATTTTATTTTTTCAAATTCTAACTTGTTGGGAAAATAAATAAACAGGACGGCAAAACTCTTGAAATTGAGTGTAACTTGTGAGACAAGTATGCTGGGCTGAGATAAAACAGAATATCAGGATATTTTATGAGGCCCGTTGACCCAAAGCACAGGGAGAACATGCAGACGCCACGCAAAAAGGCCATGTGCTGGTTTGTTGCAGTTTCAACACCAAAACACTAGTTGGTGGTGGAGTTTCTCTCTTTGACCTAGCGGCGAAAGAAGACGTGGACAGTACCGTGAAACAACAGTACTGAATGGGCTAATCACATTCATTGTGTTGAGTCAACGTTGCATTTCTTGTGAGATGCATGTCAAGTTATGGTGAAGGGTTTCACAAAGGTTTGGAGTTATGATTAATCACACTTAAGCCACCATGCTACTTTTATTCCATTTATATGCACATATCAAGTTCTGGATTTTTTGACAACTCAAATAACGTTGTCTCCCCTCATCGTCTAATCTCAAAAAGTGAAATAAACCTAATGGGTGAAACAGAGAGCAAAGGAGTCAAGCTAGTCAGACTGTAAATAACAAAACAATGATGTAAGAAACCAATCACACGGCTGATATACCGGAACAGCATTAGTAAATAAGCAGCTATAACCTGATTTCCATTATATGCTGTTTGACTTATAGGTGCATTCGATTCACACTTCTACTGATTCCTCGTGTGTTTTACGTAGGGTCATCTATCCCATGGTGGTTGTTAGATTTTATTTCATGGCAGCTGTATATCTTTTAATTTTGTTACCTGAGCAGCCACACAGCGTTCTCTCTCTTTTTCTTTTTTTAACCCTTACTGTGCCTGTCTGCATAGCTGTACATGGAATGAGTAACTGATTAAACAAAGTTCATGATCCCCCTTCTGAATGTGTTTCCTTTTCTCTCCAAGCAGGAAATTTAATTTAAGATTTTGCTGTGTAATTTGGGAAATATGTTTTTAATTTCTTTCACTTAATAAATATAAATTAAATAATCAACAGCAGCTAAAAAAAAAATTCTAGTGGCTGCACTTTACTAGGCATTACTCGTAGTGCCTTGATTAATATAAAGCCAGAAAAAACAGGGTAGTTTATTTTAACTCAGCTGACCTGCTGCTAGGTGGATGTGCTACCTTTGATAAAAAAAAAAGAAAAAGTTCCTTTTAGAGATGAACTCTGCTAAAGTATTGAAATTGCAATGTCTTTTCTTATAATGTCCGCGGTGCAGGTTTGGATGCCAGTCCACCAGCCAGCACCCATGAACTCACCATTCCTAATGATGTAAGTAATGCTGGAAAGGTTTCACGAGACATCAATTTCAAGAATACAGTCATGTATTGCTGTTTCCGCCAGATGAAATTGCAAAAATCTCCAATTTGGTCTCATCTGTTCTAATGAAACTGTTCCAAAAGTCTTGTGGTTTGTTCAGATGTAACTTTTCAAACCTATGGAAACTTTTTTTTTTATAATAATATATATGTTTAAATATATTATGTAGGGGATTTTTTATAAGCCGGAGAGATAAATTGATCTAACTATTTTATGTAAATTTAATAGAAAGGATTACTGTCTATTTGTAAATATATAGAAATAATGATTGCACTGAGATGCCATCTTTTTAAAAATGTAAGTGTTATAAAGAAGAAATGATTGTCATTACCAGCCGTGAAGCCTTGTTCAGATTCAAAGACTTTTGCTTTTTCCCCACAGTTAATAGGGTGCATTATTGGACGCCAGGGCACCAAAATAAATGAGATTCGACAGATGTCTGGGGCGCAGATCAAAATTGCAAATGCCATGGAGGGCTCATCAGAGCGTCAGATTACCATCACAGGGACCCCCGCTAACATCAGCCTGGCCCAGTATCTCATCAATGCCAGGTAACCTTTCAACTCTGCTGGGCTCAAGCACAACATTAAAGATAAAAGTAACATCTGAATGAGCATGCTCATAGTGAAGATCCAAGAAAGCTTCTCTCTCTGATTGGGCTTTTTGGAATAAAAGGAGGTCGCTGACAAGTTTACTTTTGACACTGAGACTTTGATGAGACTCTAGAAAATGCAAAAAAAAAAATCTGTCAGATTTACACAAGCAACAGATAAGCCCATGAATAATGTGAGCCATGCTGGGTCCCCCCCTATTTCCCTTTGTTTGTTCCTTTTGACTTTTGTTCTTTACATCCAACCAAGTGTAGACATTAAAATGCAGTAAGTTTCTGGGAGAACACTCTTTGCAAGTAAGTGTCTCATGGGAGCAAGGCCAACTACTGGAACGAGTAAGCTGTGCCTTTGAACAGAATCTGCAGATTAGTAAATTGGATGATCAATAAATGAATCATCAAATGTTCAATGCTTACTTCAGTTCACAAAGTTGGCTGACACAAGAAGGTATACATTCTCTGCGAGCTTAATTTAGAGATATAACTGCTGTAAGACTGTGTTTTTGCACATAAGCTGTCAGTGTAATTAAATAAAAAGAAAATGACTCCAAGACAGTTACATCTAAATCCCATGCAGGACTAAAGAGCAGTGGCTGTGTAGTAAGATAGTATACATACCAGTAGATAGTGTGAAACAGTTTTTAAGTTTTCTTGGCATGCTCCACTACCTCTGTTTCTCCTCTATCCAGCGAAACCTAATTCATTATCACCAGTGAAAATAAATGTAAAATCCGCAGCTCTGAGAAAACAGAACAGCACTGATGTCCACAGGCTACCTGCACCTCAAAGTCATATGTTATCAGCATTAGTGCAGGGGAACCCACATGCTCAACACAAAGCGATTTTTTGTTTTTGACTTCTAAAGGGGATTTTAGAGAACAGCCCACAAAGAAACTAATGGCTACTGCTTTCCCGCAATTCCAATGGCAGGTTCAGGGACGTGGCCGCCATGTGGAATGACCCTTCATCCATGACAACATCCTGAAGTCGCCACAAATCTGGTTCTGTTTTCAGAAGCTAACATCAAAACCACAACTTCACGATAAACCTCTATGTGTTATCCTGTGGGACTTTTGCTTTGCTAGTTGTGCATATAACTTCAGCTCTAGCCTGTAAGAGGCCTGTATTGACACCGGGGTCTGTTTAACAATCGATGTAGCCAGTGTATAGATTAAAAAAAATAGTTTTTACTTTGGAAAATATGCTTATTCACTGTTTTTTGCAGAAATGTTGACAAGAAAATTAATTACAATTTCTGTGTCTTAAATGGGAAGCAGCTGTTATGTAAAGGAAACAAATCCACCCAGAAACACATCTAAAAGCGAGTGACTCATTAGCTAATCAAGGCTATTAATGGCAAGCTGTTGTCGTGGATTTTTCCCTAGACTTTACAGGTAAAACCCAGAAACACAGATACTAGTGCTAATTAGTGCTAAGCAACAAACAAAGATTTATTTTGTTGAATTTCAAAAACTAATATTTGGAGTCAACTTTTTTCGATGGTCTGTCAGTACAATCAAACATGTCTAAACACACGTGAGGTATCTGCATTAAAAATCCTTCAAAAGGAACCAAAAACCAACATGGATGAGAGGTCCATTTCGGCGACTTGAACCACCACTTGTACCACCTCCATCCATCTTATCAGATCAGTCAGTTCCATCGGCATTTGGACCTCGCCTTGCTTATATATTGTCACAGTTTTTTATCCTAATTTACACTGACAATGTTGTGAAATAAATATATATTAATGAGAGAATACTTTTACTTTCTCTCTCTTCTCTTTTTAAAATTTCTTTAACCTTTTCATGCATGAATCATGACAACCTTAATCAGTATTTTTTTCTCAAGTATTTTTATTCATCTTTAGGCATGAAAAAAGAATTTTAAATTTCTTTTTTTTGAGATTAGATGAGATGAGATGAAACTTTATTAATCCCTCGGGTGGGTTCTTCTGGGAAATTCAGTTTCCAGTAGCACAGCACCGACAGAAGTTGCATGTTACAGATACAATAAAGGGGAATGAGAGTAAGGATAAAAGCATAAATATACCATATATACACATATACACATATATAAATACAGAATATATAATATGGAATACCAGTGGTAACAATAACATGTACTTTTCAAAGATTTTTCTTACATGTCCACTTAGGTGGACAACATCACCTTTGGTGTGGGTGGCAGGGTATGGAGTCACACATCAGTGTCCAATGTAGTGGTTTATGTGCAAGTATACCATCAACACTGACACAAATACAAGAAAACAGCCCTTTCACGCATAGTGGTCACTACAGTGGACAGTTATTTAAAGGCTGAGACTGGATACTTTATTCTTTAAAAATTTGGAGTTGAGCACTGTTACTTTGTACCTTGGTCAGAACAGTCGTGCCACTACACTGCATGAATTATGGCCAAATGCAGTTTAAATTGAGTATATAGCCCTCCTATACAGGGGTTCAGGAGGGAGAAAATTGTTTTGTGCCAAGCTGTAAACATGTTTACATGCTCTAGATTTGAGCATTTCAACATCTGAGTCTATGAAACTGAGTTTTGGAGTTAGAAATCCAGCTTTTAGAGCGAGCCTGAGGTTGTTTTTTTCATCATTTTTTGTCACTTCAAAGTTGACTTCATATTGAAACTCTGGAGGTCGACGCTTGGTATCAAGCTTAAAGCAACATTTGATTCAGATGGATACTTTGGTCTCTGGTGATTGGTTACAGGGAAATCAAATCCCCACTTCTCTTCAGACCAAAGATGAAAAAAAGAGTAATTTACAGTTTGCTAATTACAAAGAAGCTTTACTTTACATGTCTAAATAGGTAGATTATGTTAGCTTCCAGCAGAGCCAGGTAACTTGTGTTCACCTGTCCTCCCTTCCTCCAGCTTCACATTTAAAGAACCCACATCAGAATACCATTGATCTTCTCATTTTACTTCCTGCAATGCAGCGAATAAGCATATTGTCCCCAAAAAAGAAGCAAACAGCTTCTTCAACTATTTATTTAGCATGCCTCATTTCAAGAATATCGTGTTTCTTTTTGGTATCGTTATATAAATTTGCCTATAAAGTCCTCTTGTGTCATTGTCTACAAGGAGTAAAAATAATATTTAAAAAAAAAGGGAAAATAAAAAAATAAAGTAAAAAAAAAAGGCAGGAAACGTGAGTGCTACTGAGCAATGCTGTTAGTAAGAAGAGTGATGTGATGCCTCTGTAATGCAACTCACTATTTCATAACACCGTTTTTCTTTTAATGTTTTTATGTTTTTTTGTGTGGTTTTGTTTTTTTTAGTCCACTGCATGGCTTCATGAGAGGCTTTAGTACTGCATGGTTATGTATCCACATCTGTTTTATGTGAATGGGTGCAATGAGAATATGGTGTCAAGTCTCTGTGAAGAAAATGCACCAAGCAAGAACATTCAAGCACAAAGGCAACCATTGCAGCATAACTTTCACTGCCAAGCGAAAGTTCTTCTTTCACAGTTGTTTTATTTTCTGTCTACCCCCGCCCCCCTCCCCCCTCCTCCCCCTTCTTCCCTGTACTGTTTTAGGCTGACGTCTGAAGTCACTGGAATGGGCACACTCTAGTTTCAACCCATCTTTCCTCAGTGCATCACATGACCCTTGAGCGAATGAATGGCATTGTACCTAATTTATTGGTTTCTCTGTGTTTGGTATTTTTTAAGTGACTTTAACTTTGATTATTTATAGTATATAGTGTAAACATGTGTATCTGCACTGTTGCTAGGACTCCTCACACCTCGTTTTACGTTTTTGAAAGGTTTTACTCCACTCTAGCATCTTCCATGCCATCTCATGCACTACATCACTGTGTCGTATTTCGCATTTTATAAGACATCACCATACTCGTTCTTTTGTAATGCAGGCACCTGAAAGTAAACACAAAGTAAACCTAAGTATTGGTTTAACAATTTACAATGAGGTTGTCCCTCCTCCAGCCCCACATCCTTTTACACTGACCCATTTTTTAGACTGCTAGCTGGGACAATACATTAATCAACACAAAAGTTCAGCAGCTATATCATTTACTTTATTCCAAATCATTTCACACTGATTTCATGATTGATGAAATTAGTGCTCTACTTTGTGCCTGTAGACATTTGCCTGTTCGTCCTAGCATTGTATGTACACTATAGAATGATCTGCATGACGCACAAACCAGACTACATTTCACATTCATTTTAAAACCAAACAGGTGGAACCAAACGGAAATGGAAGAGTGAAAGGGATGGGTGTATCACTCTGACTCCAGTCTGAAATGACCGAGGGTGTGAGCCAGAACAAAAAAAAAAAAAAAAAAGGAAACCGTGCTAATGCATAAATATTAGCCTTTCTGAGTTTCTCGTGAGACCTGACAGAAAGCTGGGATAGAAAAATGAAAATATATCAAGGAAATGACTGGAGCAACAAGTGAAATTCAAATGCATGCGATGAATAAAGCCCTTTTTATTCACCTATACTCCACCACCATATTTACATTATTCATGTCGTCATGTCATAGCTACTGTGTACAAGCAGCATGGGCCATATGGAGCGATTTCAGAATTGTCTAGTGTATATTTGCGCTCACATGTAGCTCATGTAAAGATTTCATTGTAAATCACAAGAGCTGAAAAGCTCATGGGTAGTGTCCTTGAAGACACTTGTTACAAAGTGGTAGGAAGCAAGCCATTTTAGAAGCAGAAAGTGTAGAGTATTACTGGTAAGCATGCATGAAACGTTGGGATATCGAAAACACTGAAAGCATATTTTTCAATTTAAGTATTTACACATGATTCAGTTGATAGCCTTGCTTACATACACGTATGTATAACTCTCTGCAGCTGCCATCTAATACAGAGAGTACTGTGGGTGACTGTACTGATTTTATGGTATGTGTTCACAGGGGCGTTTCTGGAAGTAAGCAGCTGCACTCAGAACTTGCCACTAGGTAGTGTCAGTGTCCATATGAACATCTGACAATCTCCTACTGGATTTTAATTATGACCCATATGCCAGCTTGCTTAATTTGACCAACATTATAGAAACAGTGGGACCCAAGACATAGGCCAAGTATATCATATATTTAGTTTCGCACCAGTTCTTTCTGTTGAAAGGTAAACACAGGATAGTAGAAAATAGCCACAACAATCTGAAAAATTGCTATAAGCAAGCACTTAGTGCTGGTGGGGAGGAAAAACTCCCTTTTTGAAAGGAGGAAACCTCAGATCCAAACTTATGGAGGGGCAGTCATCAGCAATTATTATTTGACAATGATTATGAATTCTGGCATGAGTTTCCAGGGCTGATGAGTCATGCCACTGTGCCGTTATATGTATAAGTGCATCCCTACACATTGGGTCCAATTACTCCAACAAAATGTCTACAGTGTTTCCATTACTCCCACCTACAATATCTTTTGACTGGTATGACACATCACAGCACATCAGGCTAAAATATTTTTCAGAATAGAAATACTTTCAGCTGCATACATGATCGCTGGTGGTAATAAAGATATGCTTAATTGTTGTTAGGATGATGAAGAGGACCTGGCCCAAAAGGTTTGAGAATCCAAGGTCTGGTAGCATCAATGGGAATATTGATGCTACCAGAAATGAAAGATCCTGTGAACATGTACCATTATCTCTAAATGGACACACAACTTTTGGCCCTGTTGCTCAATCTGAAGCTGAATGTACTTCAAATATGTGTTTTTAACTAATATTTACATGTCACACTGGGCTATAGTAATTACACGGGTATATTTTCAATCAGGTGCATCAAAGCTAAATGATGTAAACAATTATTTAGCAAACGTTTTCGAACGTTACAAGGTTAAGAAGGTCACCCTCAAATGAAGTCGGTTTCAAATGATGTATTAAATAATTACCATATTATTACACTAGATACATACAATATTACATGCTGAAATTATTTTTCATTATGGTAAATAAAAAATGTAAGCCTAAATGTTCCTGTATTTTCTGCAAGAAAAAAATTTATTTAGCAAGTGCAGCGCTTGTTTCAGCTTGTGTAGGCTATAAGATCAAAACTAGGGGATACCTTCATGTGTCATGTGACTGAAGATTGTTTTGGGGGGATATTTTTACCTTTTTTGATAGCTGAGGTAGATATAGGCAAGAAATGCTGAAAAAGATAGCAGGACGTGCAACAATTACATTTTTTTCTCAATCCTACTCTTTCAAAAATTCTGACTATATTACAATAATTACACAATTTACTTACAAAGTGTTCATACATGTATGCATAAATCTTATATGAACTATTGGTCGGGCCATTACAAATTTGGCCCAGGTCCTGAGTATTTGGATAGAATGGATTATATATGGGTTATTACTTTTGAGTATAGAGTCAGTGATATTGTTTTGTTACATTTCACATCTTTACACACTTACATTGTGAATGTATCTCTCTACATTGTACATTATCACTCATCTGGCTGCATTCAGATGAACAAATGGAGCACTCACTGATTGAAGGCTGATGCGTTTTAAACATTGTGTTCATGTAAAACTGTTCTAACTGTAATTACTTGAGCAGAGTGTGTAAAAATTGTTCACATTACTATGAGATTTTGATATCAGGTATATAGCTGCCTGTTGTCAAAAAAGACTTGCAGAAATATTTTGCACTAGCACTAAAAAGACCAATGCAGCAGATGTTACAGACCACACAATTTCTAAAATATTACATGGCAACCATCTGCCTCAAATGTTCAACAAAACAAAAGAAGCTAATGTGAACAGTTTATGTGGCACACGGAGGCTAACCACCTATTCCACTTCTCTATAATCTAGCCATTAATGTGTTTATTTTTTCATGTTAATTGCACAATAATGGTTGTGCTTGTAGGTTCAGGGTATCTGCTGGTTGTGTGCACAGAGG